AAATAATAAAATTTTTTTATAATAAGATGGATAATAAAAATTAAAAAACAAATAATAATAAGGGTAAAATATATAAAAGAAAAAATATCTATTTTCCTTAAATTAAGAAAAACAGCTATTATTATAAGATAAATTTTAAATAAAAAATATTTATTAATATGGAGGGAGTAAACTTTTTAAAAAATTCTTCATTACTATTTCCTTTTCCCTCCAAACCATTATATATTATTCCTAAGGAAAGTAAATAATGATACAAAAAGGGTATGAGTACATATATATTTTCTAACATGAGAAGAGAAAAAGGCGTATGAACATTTGAAACATACGAACCTTTCACTATCATCGTTAGTTAAGTCAACAACTTGCTATTTTAAATAAAAAAAATTTGATTTTTTTAAAATAAGTTCTTAAATTAAAATCTTGTATATAAAAAAATAAGTGTTATGAATTTTTTTTTTTATGGGGTTCAACTTAACTCAACCTGAGATTTAATATAATTTTTGAAAACTAAAAGATTAATACCAAAAATCATTAATTAAAAATTTAAAATAATTTGAATTTGTTACTGGTGAATATCTCATTAAAAGAATAATCGCAAAATTTCAATAACATCAGCACATAGAAAAAAAAAAAAAAAAAGACTTGATCAACACCAGCGCTGGTCGTGCATGCTGCGCGCCTCTGGATTTTTTTTTTCAGTAGTTAGGGTTAGAGTTTCTCAAATGACCTTTTTGTACACTTTAAAATTAATTTTCTTAAAAATTTTAAAGATGCATTTATTACATTAATTTGTTACATTTTAAAAAATTTATTTTTTAAATGGTAATTTCGAAACTTAAATTTGGACCTAATAGCAGAATTATTAGTGTTTACTTTCTATTACCACCTTATGCATTTTTGTAATTATAGAACCGATATTTTTCTCTTCATCAGGAAGACTAAATGGAAATGATATAAAAAAACATTGAAAATTCTTAAAGATAAATCTTAATCAAGGTAGGGAATTCATCTAATACTATACTAAATATTTCAAAAAGTCAAACATGATTTTAAAACTTAACTAGGGAGTAATTCTTTGCCAAACTTTTGAAAAGATATGCTATGGGACAAACAAAAATATTATAGTTACAATGTTAAGTTTTATAAATTTATACCATAATATGCCATTTTATAATTAATTTTTTTATTCAATAATTTGCAAATAATATAATATATATCCACTTATTTATACTACATTATAATTATAAATTTATAATCCTACATATTATTGTAACTATAATATTGCCTTATTGCAAAAGTCAAAACTCCATATATTCTAGTTTTTTTAGGAAAATATTTTGCTTCTAAAAGTTGGAAGTTCCAAACTTGTTGATTTTAAATTTAGAAAATAAAAAAAGAACATTTTGATACTACGTATTATTGTAACTATAATATTGTCTTACTATAAAAGTCAAAACTCAATAAAATCAAGCATTTTTAGGAAAGTATTTTGCTTCTAAAAAGTTGGAAGTTCCAAACTTGTTAATTTTAAATTTATAAAGTAGAAAATCAAAATATCTTGATACTAAAAATGACAGAATATTCAATAATAATCATTAAATGTATAGAGCATAGTACGGGTATTAAATTCCTCGTATGATTATTATTAATGTCAAGACGGTATGATTTTTTCTTTTTCCTTCTGGATTACATTTTTTGTTATTTGGTAAATTTTATCCATTTTAATTTTTGTAATTATATAAATTCATAATTCAACACTTATTCAAAAATTTTTCTGAAAAGCAACAAGAATTAGACCAACAGCCCCTTGAACTCAACACAAGGCTTAATTTTCGGCCTCAAAAAAAAAAAAAAAAACACAAGGCTTAAGTTAAGGGACATTTTTATGGGTAAAAGCTAACTCATTGAGTACATAGCAGCATAATATTATTAGTCTCTTTTATTGCTTTCCCTTTGATATAATATATAGCTGCAGTTGTTTCAGTATTTTTTTTTTTTTCTTTAGCAGTTGTTTGAGTACAACATGGCAGTGTAAAATGATAATAACTAGCAACCACTCACGCCTATCCGCCGGTGCCACCACCCATCACTATTCTCTTCTTCATACACAGGCAAATCGGGCACAACTGATTACAAACTACAAAGAAAAACAACCTGTTGCGAATTACCTAAGTGATAATTTCTTTTTAATAAAATAAAGATTTTTAAATTTAAGTTATATAGTATGTAAATAAAATGAATTAAAAGATAGAAGAATATTACTTTTTATTGTCAAAATAAAAGAAAATAAAATAAAAACTCTTAAACAACTTGTTAACTGTTATTTTTATACTTCATATATTAGATAACTAAAATTTTAAAACTTCCAATTAAGAATGTTAACTTGAAATTTATTTTTACGTCTTTATTGGAGAGATGAAGTACTCAATCCGAGATGAAGATTGATTTGTGAAGAGTAGGGTTGAGCATAAAGTATGGGTATATATGATATTTGTAGGTATCTTATTTATTGAGGTAAGTATTTTACTTGTATCTATGAAGAGATAGTTAAATACCGAGTATAAAAAATATATGTACCATATAAGTATTACATAAGTATTGGATATGAGAGCCAATAACTGCATATTTGATCTGTATACTTGATTCATATATCTCATCTATATACTTAATTTATATATCTGACTTATATACATGAATTGTATATCTTACCCATATATCTAACCTGTATATTTTACCCATATACCTGATCTGTCTATCTTACCTATATACTTGACCTGTATACTTAACTTATATACCCAACCCATAAACTTGATTATATATTTATAATGCTTCATTAATTAATTATAGGAATATCATTTTAATTTACAATTTATATAGAAATTACTTAATTATAAAATAATTTATAATATAATGATTATGTTCTAGTTTTATATGCTTAATTTGTAATATAATATTATGAAATTAAAATGTTTTTTTTTTTCTCGCAATGAAGATTCAACTAGAGGAAAATCATGTAGATTTTGTTTGTATTTCTTTTGTTATGGTATATATATAAATTAAACTTGTGTATGTGTGAGTATATATACTCACGTATTTTGTTTTTTATATATAAACTTATATTATATATATGAACTTATAATTGTATATTAACTTATGGATTTTTAGTGTAAAATTTAACAAGTATAAAAATATACTTATGGATATACCTATACCTAACAAGTTAGATAATAGGTATAAATTTTCAACAATTAGATAAGTATTAGATATTAAAATCTTATACCTGTTATTGTTGAAATCAAATACAAATATAAGCAAATACCTGACTATACCTATGCATGCTCACCCCTACTGAAGAGAGCAGCATCCACGTTAATTAATGGACCTATTTTTTTGTTGTGATAGACTTAAAGCCCTGAATTATGGGCATTTAAAGTTAAAATGAATTATAGCATGCACTACTAGAAAACAGCATATAATCGACAAAAATATAATCAATAACCAAAAAACTGTCGATTTTACTTATATCATCGACAAAAACTCTGTCGATTATAATAAAATGTTGATTATATAGTTATAATCGACAGCCATTGTGGCTGTCGAATATATTTGCTATAATCGACAGAAATGGCTGTCGATTATACCTAATACAATTTCATATATTTATATATTTAGTAATAAAGATTTAAAACTATTAAATGTAAAATTATTTTTAACTAATATTATATAAATAT